GCATATATCCTTGTGTGTTCGCCTTCCTAAACTTGATATTGTACTCATTAGAAAGAATACTAGTAACAATATGACACAGAGTGAAGGAGTGGAGACAACTGAAAGCCACAGTCCAGAGCAATTTTTTTCTTTAGGAAAACAGCCCTGGAAATAGCCAGTCATTTCTAAGAACCCAGCCATATTTCTATTAGCTAATTCTCTACAATCATCTTTGATTTAAATTCCTCCATCTAGACAGGAAAAAGACAGATGCTGTAAGTCCTTAAATGTACAGAGCTTCTGTCCTTTGTGTCTGGGCTGCCTCCACAAGCCATGGCTCTTATGGACAATCAACACCAGGACACACCAGCACCTCCTTGATGAGCATTAGTGGCTCTTGGCAGCTCCTCTGGTCCCCATGGCTTTGTAAATGCTTTCTTGGTCCAGGATATAAAGCTTCCAACTAGGAAAGCTACTTTCTTGTTTATAATCTAAGGCATTAGAACATTTTCTTCTGGAAATTTCCCTTGAAAGATTAAAATACAAATTTCTTCTTCCAGGACCCATTATCACAATCTGAGCCTTTTTGGAAGATTAATTTTGGAGCCTCTGTCCATTACATCCTGTGCTGCATGGTACACTCTAATACAGGCACACACAGCTAAAGGTGAACCAAGTTTCTTCCTTTCACAGAAGTGCACCCATCCACTGCTGCTACTACTGCAACTCTTCTAATAAAATTGAAACCAATGAAGAAACTTGTCGTCTGTCTGTCTTCACTAATCCTTTTAATGCTGGGTGCTTCCATGAATGTACAGATAAGGTCAGCCTTTCTGGTATACACTCTTTCTAATTCACCATGGCATAGACCTTTCTCCTCTGTTTATATCCTATGATTACGTCAAATCTGAGATCATAAGAACTGATTTACATTACAACTTTTTGTGAGGCTAGATTTCACACTAGATCTTACTTTTGAAATTGTTTAGAATTTTGTTTTTATTGTTTGAATATTTTCTCACAGTATAAAATTTACTATTTCCAAGTCTAACTACTGTAGAAAGTCAAGAAAGGCACATAAAAAGACTGTCAATGCCCGTAAAATTATAACAAAGATGTAAGCTTTGTGATAAATGATTTTGTTTTAGAATGCTGAAACTTGATTCTACAAAAGTTTTTTTTTACAAGTGCTTGTGATAAACACATTTTATTCATTATGTGGAAATATTTACTTTCCAAGTACTTTCTAATTTTCCCATTCGCCGATCTTTAAAATATTTAATGAACTAGTTACTAAACACTTGATCATTTCTCTTTTCCTTCTTCTTTACAAAAGAAATTATGTTTCAAAGAAAGCTCTTTCAGGAACTTTCTCTGCCGTGACTGTTTTGGGTACCAATCTCTTTGGCAAATGCCTTGCAATTATGTTGTCAACAAAAATAGCTTGTCAATGCTGCTAGAAGCATACCCAAAGTTGCAAGTCTGCAAGTCTGGGGAGATATGCATTTGGGGAGAGATCATAATTGTACTCTAGGTGCCCTTTTGAAACAATGGAAATATTTTGTTGAATTCAGTGGTGTGAAAGAGAGTTTCAATTTATGTATCTTACCTGGAGTTACCAGAAAAAAATAAGCAAATGTCTGTCTTGGTGACTATTTCCTGAAAATTTACTATAGTTATATAAACCAAAAGGGACTAAGCAGTGATCTTGAACATGTGTAGAATTAAACATTGAAGAAGTTTTCCTTTAAATTTTAAATTACACGGGTCAGCCAGCCTTGTCCACAGGAATCCTAGACTTCTCTAAAGAACTGAGGCAGCAGAAATGAGCCTACCATCCTCTCATTTCTGATGCAGGAAAAGCCCAGGGTGAGTGGATCCCTCACAGATGCTGCTTTGTGTCCAAGGGCAGATCCTGTGTTCAAAGAAAGGAGCAAACTCAAGGATGAGCAGCTTTTCAAAAGGCTTGTGTCTAGACAGAAAATGAGTCTTAAGATCACATCTTGATTTATTTTTAAAACATATTAAAAATCTTATTTTTTATTTTATTTTATTTTATATGTATGAGTATATTGCCTGAATGTATGTAAGTACACCCTTCCAATGTTGTGCAATGCCCACAAAGGTCAGATGAGGGCATTGAATCGCCTGGAACTGGAGTTAAGGACAGTTTTTTTTTAGCCATCATGTAGGTACTGGGAACTGAACCCAGGTCCTTAGCAACAGCAACAAGTGCTCTTAACTGCTGGACCATCCCGCCAGTCCCCTTGATTTATTTTTAGGTGATACATTTGGACTCAGTTTGACTTTACTGATTTCCTCCATGAATACAATCCAAACCAATGATTCCGACCTAAGCCCAGAGCAGCCAACCCAGCTCCCAATTGTCTATGACCATCCATACCAATAGGTTATGCAATTTTATTTGATAATCTATTTTTGAATGTGGGGAAAACAGGAAGAACACCATCAAATAACAAGTCATCTTTTTATTGTCATACATCAGTATTTTTAATAGTTCAGCATTCAATTCTATAATATTTAGGTAGCAAAGGATAGACCAAGCTAAGAGTCCCTGTATTTTTATCTGGTCCAGAAACTTGTAGCTTATCCATTTCAACCACTCCCACCTATACTTTTTAACCCAGCCTGCCAACCATGACAATTCTTTGAGAGGCTATCTCTGTGTAGCCCTAGAACTCACTATATAGACCAGTCTGGTATTGTACTTAGGGTAATCCTCCTTCCTTTATTTCCTAAACGCTAGGATTATACGTGTGCACCACTATGCCTGGCAGCTATAACAAACTAACATCTGACAGAATATTTGCCAACAGTATAATGTTCCACAGACACTTTTGCGACCATACTTCTAAATATCTAATTTCCACAGCACAATTACATGACAAACGACATTTTAAAACTACAAATTGAAACCCAAAGATTTGTTGGTTATATTGTGTTCTTTGACCCTTTCCAAAGGTACTAATGCACAAAGAATGATTGTCTCAGAGAGAAGTGACATCAGAAAAGTAGGTTATACAAGAAAAGATTTTTGTAGTTATTTCTTGTTTCCAAAGAAAATGTACCACTGAAAAACAATTTCACTCTCTGAAGTAGAGTTTTGTATTTCCTAAACAGAAGCACTGCATAGGGTAAGAATCCCAAAGTGCAACAGCCATGTGGCCATGTTAGCCACTAATATGAAGGAACCCAGATCCTGATGGAATGCCTAGAAAGATTTAAGGTATCTAAGAACAGAGGGGACTGATAGTGTTTTGTCTCTCTCTCTCTCTCTCTCTCTCTCTCTCTCTCTCTCTCTCTCCCCCACCCATCTCTTCTTTCTGTGTGGATGTCTGTCTTTGACAGGCTTTATCTTTTCAAACATCAAAACTTATTTGAGAATCAGAAGGAAAAACAAAACAAAACCACCCAATGTTTCCAGGCTATTCCATGACGGAAACAAAATGCTTCTAAGCATACTGTGATTGTGGAAAATACTTTAAACTTTATGTCATCTTAGAAAAGAATTGTTATTCAAAGTCATTTTTTTTTTGGTCTTTTTGAGACAGGTCTCCATGTAGACCCTGCTGTCCTGGAACTCACTATGTAGACCAAGCTGGCCTTGAACTCACAGAGATCTACCTGCCTCTGCCTCCCAAGTCCTGGGAATAAAGGCTTGTGCCACCATGACCAGCTCAAAGTCATTTTTACTGCCACACACATTTAGAGAATTAGCTCAAAGATCCTTATGTGTGGATTTGGCACTAAAGTAAGTTTCTGTATATGATGCTGAGACATCTGTTGTAAGATTCACACGTGTGCTTTTCCAGAATGGTGGCATGGAAAAATGATACTCTATGGAAGAGCCCCAGAATCTGACCTGTAAAGAAGGGGCTCCATGACCTCACACTCACTGACACCTGATGCCCAATTAGCTTGCATGACATCTCCTTGCATCTGGTTTGAAGGTATATATAACTCTAAGAGGGATAAGAATGCCTTGTTCTCTCAGACTGTCATCTGCCACAGAGCGTGGTAGTTAATTAGACCAATCTAGAGAGGAGAGCAAAATTCCCAACATCAGAGAGTTTGAAATGGTTGGGCCAGAACCAAACATTAATCCCACCTGTCTTGACAGAGCTTTCTGTCCTAAACTCTTGAATTTGCTGACTAAATTAATTCATTTTGGGGCTAAAGAACTCTTTACCAGCCATACAGCACATGACTTCTCTTTTCAGTGAAAAGTTTATAGTATATTAATATCCATGATGCTGTGGACTTTGGACTACATGATTCTAAGTGAAGTTTTGATTTGACCACAGTCACAGTATGTGGATGACTAGCAGCCTGTTTTCAAACATGTTTAATGCCTCTGTCCTAGTTTGTTTCTTCATTGCTGTGACAAAACACTCTGACCAATACCAACTTGGGGAGGAAAGGGTTTATTTGTCTTACATCTCTTGGGTCACAGTTCATCCAGGAGCCCAAGGTAGGAACTCAGGGCAGGAACCTGGAGGCAGGAGCTGGAGCACAGGCCATGGAGGAACAATGCTTACTGGCTTGCTCCCCTGGTCCCTGCTCAGCCTGCTTTCTTATGCAACACAGGCCCACCCTCCCAGGGGTGGCACCACCCACCATGGGCTGGGCCCTCCCACATCATTCAACAATCAAGAAGATGCCCCATGGATATGGCCACAGGCCAGTCCAATGAAGGAAATTCCCCAATTGAGGCTCCTTCAACCCAGCTGTGTCAAGTTGACACCAAAGCTATCCAGCACAGCCTCCTTCAGATTTACGTTTCACAAGCGTTCATAAATACTTCACATTAATAAATCTATATCATTGCTCTGAAAGACTGAATTATTATGAGCTGTCCAAAATATGTGGTAGGTTTTAGCAACAGAATGGTTATGTTAAAAGAGGAAGGCAGTAACCAGGTTTCAAATCTTCAGTATCACCATGACACACAGGGAGAGGAGGATAGTCAAGAGAGGAGGACAGTCACCCAGGTTCCTCACCTTCACAATCACTGTGACAGTTGCAATGCCTGGTGGCATTGTTCCATAAATATCAAAGGCTTCTACCAGGAAAGTGATGCTTGCCTCCTGGTCTGGAAATGCCTCATAATCCAAACTCCTTAGAAGGGACAGTTCTCCCGTAAATGGATGTAGTACAAAAAAATGCTTTACTTCAGGGCTTCTTATCCGATATGACACATTTGCTCCAAGGTCAACATCTTTGGCCTGAGACAAGTTAACAGAAGAGTAGTTACATTACATCAGAGGCGATACCCATGGAAGAGTAAGGGCTGGTGGACATGCATAAATGCATAGGAATGTGTGGATTCCATGATAAGAAAAAGACATGTAATCTTACATTTATGAGAGAAAGGAAATGGAGAGATGGAGAAAGGAAGAGGGAATATCCAGGATGTTTGGCCATTGCTAATTTTCTTTATCTATTTTACCTGAACACTCACTAATTAAAGAATCATATGACAGTAAAGAAATTACTGTCACATTATTTCTTATTATCTGTTGATTTAGTTAAGGTGAAAATATTAACATAAAATAATGAACATAAAAATAACTTAATAAAATAATTGTGGAGCCATTTCCACAACCAGGTTTTAAATTCTGAGAAGAAAACTAAAGAATCGTAAGAAACAGTTCATTCCCAGAAGGTTCTCAAGATGCATTCCTCAAGGTCACTCTATTAAAACTGCCTTTTACTAACACCTGTTGTGCCTTCATTATGTGGAAGCTACTGTGAAGAGGTAAAACAAATCAAGATGTAAATCTTGTCCTTGGATTTAAAGAGAAATGGTATAAATAAAACAATATAAAGGGGGAAAACGTGTCATCTGAAAAGTGCTCTGGATTAGAGTCTAGATGAGAAGATGAGTTTTGCAGATTTCACAGAATTAATGCTTTTCCACATACCTCTATCTGAAGAAAAGTGGTCCCAGCTGGCAGATTCTCTTCAACAATGACAGTATATGTTGAATTGGTAAAAACAGGACTGTTATCATCAATGTCCAAAACCTTGATGTATAGTGTCAGAGTTGAGTGTCGAGGGTGCACAGCTCCATCCGTTGCCACGACAACCAGTTCATAGTGGTCCTTGACTTCCCTGTTCAGCTTCACGGCTGTGTAAATGCTTCCATTGGATGTGATTCGGAACAGGCTGTTGAAGTTCCCCAGACTGTAGTGCACTTGCCCGTTTATTCCAGCATCAGGGTCTGTTGCCTAAAGGAAAGAAACACCAGAATTCACATAGCAGTTTCTGACCTGTGTTGCACATAATGTATGGAAGTTTTATAACCAAATATTCTTTTATTTTTCTGCAAGGAGAGAACTAGAGAGATAATGAAGATACGAGGCACAGTCAAAATTTCAAAAAGAAATAAGCTATAATTACTTGGTAGACTCATTGAAAGTGAACATGATGATTCCATTAGCAATACAGCATGTATTGTGTAAGAGAGAAGAAGTATTATAAAAATGTCAGAATTTTATGTAATATTTCTACAGTGGATTTTGAATTTCAAGAAAAATATTGCATAGTTGTAATTAATTTCATAATTTTCTAACAATTTGAGATTTGTTTTCTCAATAAATTTATGTAACCATTTTATAATGAAATATCTTTGGGCACAATACATATTTACATTATTTAACTCTTATGATGCTCTTAATGCATTAATATATTTGGCCCCATTTTGCAAGTGAGATCACATGGCTTATGGAAATTATCTCAGCTATAGTTACACAATAAATCAATACTTTGAGATCATAGTATAATACCTCATATATGAAACTATAATAGATGTTTATGAGGTTAATAAATGTTAAATTAAAAGGACAAATGGAAATGCACTGGAGGAATGGCTCCACACTTAAGAGATGCTCTTGCAGAGGACCTGGGTTCAAGTTCCAACACTCACATGGCAACTAATAGCCGTCTGTAACTTCAGTTCCAGGAGATCAGATGTTCTCTTCTGACCACCCTGGGAACTGCATGACATAGGTGCATTTACATACAAGCAGGCAATACACTCATACATATAAAACAAAACTAGCAAATAAAATATTTAAAAAGAAAAAAGCAGGGTTTGAAATTAAGCCTACTTTAAAAAATCAAATATTTTACAATAATTGTAAAATCACTACATGCCCTACAAATTTAAGCACATATGAATTTATATAGTTCCAACAATTCTAATTGTAGGGCATGTAGTGATTTTCCATCAAAATGTTCCTTCCATGAGTCATATGTCTGACACTTGAGGAGGATCTGTCCCCTAGACTAGCCAAATACAGATGCCCTCTGGAGGTTTGCATCTCTTGAGACTTAATCCTGAGGAAAAATGGAAGAATTAATGTCTGAAGAAGGAAAAAAAATTAGTCAGAGAACTGAAGAGTTACTGGGAAATATTTTCATTTGTGAAAATATTTTGCCTGGATTGTCTCAGAATTGTTGACAGAGCAGTTGTGCCGGTCACCTTAGTGGAGACAACAGGCATTCTATCCATCATTTCAGAAGTAAAACAAACCATACCTTCAATCATATTTTCCATTTCTGGATACTTAAACCAGTTGTTCACTTGGAGTGGGGAATGGGAGGGTAGGGTAGAGAATGAAGTATGGGGAAAGATAACTAATAGAAAGGTCTCAGAAAAAGCCATTTGGAAACCTACCACTATAGCAGAATATATATATATATATATGGAAAGTAGAGTCAAAGGTGTTACCTTACAATAGGGGCACATTGTCTTTAACAGACACCATAGGCTAGCAAAGCAAAACCCCAACAGAACTGTCTTCATTGGATTGGCCTGTGGCCATGTCTGTGGCACACTTTCATGACTGTTGAGTGATGTGTGAGGGCCCAGCCCATCGTGGGTGGTGCCCCCCCTGTGCAGGTAGTCCTGCACTGCAGAAGAAAGCAGTCTGCATTCTGGCCAGGAAAGCAAGCCGGTAAGCAATTATCCTCCATGGTCCATGCTCCAGGTCCTGCCCTGAATTCTTACCTTGGCTTCCCTTGATGATGGATTGTGCTGTAAGTCAAATATACCCTTTCCTCTCCAAGTTGGTTTTGGTCAGTGTTTTTATCACATCAATTGAGGGCAAACTAAGACAGCCATTAACTTTACCCAACTGTGAATCATGTGTGATTCAATAACAATTGGTCTGACAAGATATAATTTCTGATGCAATAATAGCATAAATAGTATGGAAGTAACCAATCATTTTCTTTTTTATTTATTATTTTTATTTTATGTGTATGAGTGTATTGCCTGCATGTATGTGAGTTCACCAGTGTCACGCAATTCAGCAGAGGTCAGAAGAGGGTGTGGTATTCCCCTGGAACTGTAGTTAAGGATGGTTTGTAGGTGCTATGTGTGTGCTGGGAATTGAACCCGGGTCCTCTGCAAGAGCAGTCAGTGCTCTTAACTGCTGAGCCATCTCTCCAGCCCCACCAATGACTTTCTAAATGAATTTACGGTCTTCTTCATATGATGGGGCCCATACCTGACACTGGTATCAGGCCTAGGAACATGTGGTTAAACAGGCCACAAGTCATAAAGGAGTGCCTAAAACTATTATTCTATTTTTCTGCTATAGAGATTTAGTATTAAAGCCATACCTAATAACTTATTGTTATAACCACAGATTAATGCATCTCTCAACTCTCATCAGAGAAGCTTCCTTATGCAGCAGATGATGAATAACACACAACTGGCGAACATGCAGCGAATCAGAGACTGCAGCGTGATTATCACAGAACTTGACACCTGTTTCAAATTTCTGCCTCTGAAGACTCAGGGATCATTGTGGAAGACTTGGTGGAAAGATTGTAAAAATCAGAGATGATAGATGATCACAAGGAAGCAGAGTTGCACAGAGCTGGGAAGTTACTCATAGGAACTCAGCAATGGTGACAGCATGCTCAAGTGCCATGTAGTTAAGCCAGACAAAATCCCAGTGAAAATGTGAGGCAGTGAGTAAGACCTTAACCCTACCTGAGGCAGTATTGGAAACTGATGACTACTGAGAAAGTGAGAATTGTCTCTTAAGTGTGTGGCTTTTGATAGGATAACCAGACTCTAGCAGATGAACCCTAACTGAAGGACATTTCGGGACACAAATTAGACTCTCTCAGCCATTATATATATATATCTAAATATGATCAAGAATATTATGAAATTTGAAAAAATTCAGTTAAAAGGGGGAAAACCCAACCATTCATACTTTCAGTAATTTAAATGATTCCTCCTCAAAATTTCTGTGCTCATCCATATAATTCAAGGCTTATTATGGCAGAATGATTCAATTTAATGGGTCTGGCTGTGTATTCATGTGTGTATGTGGTTGTGTACATGGGCAGTATGTGAAGGGAAAGGTATGGAGCAGGTGTTTTTTGTACGTCCAGCTCTTTACCTGATGTCTCAACTACAATTTTCAGATATATCTGGGCAGATATAACCTAACATGGAATGTTCTGGAAAAATAGTAAGAATTGAAAATTTTAAGTCACAAATATATTTACTATCCTTAACCTGCTGAGCCTTTCAGCCTAGGGACATACAACGCTGTGCTAAATGGGTAGTTTACACTCACGATGGCATAACTGACAGGGACCTGAAGTTTCAGCATCTTATGACATGATCACTGCACATTTCATCAATGTTCAAGATTTATTTTGTACTGGATACCTGTTGTTTTTTTTTCCATCATAAACCTGAAAACTCATAAGTCAATCTTTCACAGTAGAGAAACTATCTGTTCTAATATTCTGTTGCTGAAATAATAATCTATGATATACTTGTCAGTTTCTGCAAACAAGATCATTATATAAAGCTCTGCAGGTAACATGCTCAGTGTGGGTTTTGCCCTAAAATCAGGGTGCAACCCAGGCTGTGCTACTTCCTGCAGGCTCTGAGGAATGTACTGAAGCTACCAACTGAACTAGGCTGTGTGATTTGGTGATCCTGAAATCTCTACTTCCTTGATAGGTACCACATGACATCCATCCAGCTTCCAGCCCCACCCATTTCACCAGGCTTCTGAGCTTTTTCCTCCACCTATAAGTTTGTTGAGTTAGTGAAATACTTGTTGCAATTTTCTTAGTCATTCTTCCTCCTCTTTCCACCCTGCAGCAGCCCTGTTCCTCTTTAAGAGCTTATGTGAGAATTCTGGGATTACTTTGACAATCAGAGCAATATCATATTTTCAAGGTCCCTAGATTTAATCAATTTTTTTGCAAATATATAGCAATTTGTTTATTATGAAATGGTTTGTTGAAAGAAAACATTGAATTAGATATTGACCAGGTAGACTGGAACTAAAATGTAGTAAATATGTTAAGTACACATACAGACATACATACCTTTGCTTATCTACTCCCACTTGGCTCACGGAATAGCTAGTCACCGCAGAAGGAAATACATTTGATGCTTATCAATTAAAAGACTGTATCTTTGACAGGAATTAGCTCTGAAGATATTAAAGTTGCTCAAATAAGCAGATAATAGAGACAAAAGGACCCGAATATGTGTGAGCACAGAGCCTTCCCTTCCTTTCTTATCTCCTGGTGACTTGGGGGCGATGAATAAAGTTGTGATTCCCACGACAAGAGCTAGCAGACAAGGTAGATTCACTTACTTAGTATTACATGTTGAGGTACTGAAGAAAGTCAAACACAGAGTTCCACGTTATCAGCAGTGCTGCTGAGAAGTTTGCATCAATGTTTAATATCTATTCAAGCATCTCAAAATGCTCTGTAATGGACTCATTCATCTTCTTACAAATCAATTAAAAGTTAATTAAAATTGTTAATAAGAAAAATCACACCTCTCTTCTTGTACTACATCAAAGCAACAAACAATACTAGCTGCAACTTTATAATCATCTGTCTATAGTTAACGTGTCTTATAATGTATGTCTTACTACAAAGTTTGATTTGTGGTTACTTATTTGTGGATGCATATTGTTGGGAAATTGGAGGATCATCTATAGTCATAGCCTTAAAAACTAGAATAAAGACTGGAGAGAGCTTTAGATATTTGCCATAAAAGCAAAAAACACATTTAAATTACTAAAATCAAAATTAGAGCATTTAAAATAAATCAATTAATGAAGAGAGGCCAGTGGCTGTGTAGACATTAATGAACAAAGATGTTTTGAAAAATTGTATGCTCACTTTTGTAGTAAGCTACCTATAGACAGAGTAAGCAATTATAGTT